GTGGTCCAACCTGGATGGTTCGGCCTTAGCTCACAGAGATGTGGCACATGCTGTCCCCTGAGATCCAGACGGCTGCACTTATTAAATTTGGGTAAAATCTTAAGGAGAAAGTTCTCTCCTGCCATCTCTAACACACACCTGGTCCAGGCCACTGTCTCCCTTACCTGAATTTTGACAGGACCCTCCAATGGCTACTCTCTCCCAGCCCCTAGAGACCACACACACAACCGCACGTAGTCCTGCTACTGAGGACCAGCTTCCAGCGGCCAGTGCCCCCCCCCACACACACACACACTGACCACCCTCTGCCAGGGCCTTGGCACAGGCTACTCCCCTGCTTGGGGCACTTCACCTAGAGACCTGCATGGCTCCCATGTCACCTGTCAGAGGCTTCCCCGCTACCCCTAACCCCCGCCCTGCCCAGTTCCTCCCTATCATCTGACCTATCTCCACTTGACATTTAGCTCACTGCCTCAAGCCCCCACTGACCTGTGGCTGGGAGGCCAGGGACTCCGTCTCTTTCCATCCCTGCTAAGCTCACAAGAGGTGGACTGAGATGGTCAGTGAGCACTGTTTCAATGTTAAGTATTTGGGGTTTTACCCCAAGAGCAAAGAGCAGCCAAAGATTCTCATAGTGTTGGTACTTTAATTTTTACCAGGATTAAGTCTCAGGGAGGAATTCTGAGCTGTTTTCTTGTTTTTGGTGTGAAGTTTTGAAGCCAGGACATTTGGCCAGGTTGTTTCAGGACCTCTAGGGAGGACTTCTGGCCTCTGACCATCCAGGTTCTGAGCTCAGTTACAAGGAAGGGCAGGGCTCTAGACCAAATCCCAGCTAAACAAATGACCTGTAGGAAAAGGAGCCCACGGGTATGGCTCAATGACTGAGGCCCACTTATGAACAAGGAGGTCACAATTTGATTCCAGGTCAGGGCACCTGCCCGGGTGCAGGCTGGATCCTCAGTAAGGGGCATTCAGGAGACAGCCCATCGATGATTCTCTCTCATCATTGGTGTTTCTATCTCTCTCTCCCTCTCCCTTCCTTTCTGAAATCAATAAAAAAAAATATTGAAAGAATAAAAGAGCCCACCCAATGGAGCCCTCCCAGGGAGCAGAGGGTGTCTCCAGAGAGGCCCTCCCTAGAGAAGCAGTGACATGGAGGAGATGGGGTGCCTGGCCCTGGGGCGCCCACAGAGAGAAGCACACACAGGCTGTGCAGGGAAGTGGTGACACAGTGATTTGTTAAAGCCTTATGAACTAAAATGCAGCACCACCACCGTAATTATCAGGAATTACCATAATTATCAGGAATTAGGGTAACGAGTGCTCCCTGCTCAGTGCCCTCCTCCCCGCCTCGAAGACCATGGATGCACAGGCTGCTGGGGGCAGTGAGACCAGCTACTCACAGCCTGTGTCACC